CACTGCACCACGCTGCCCCTCACTGCACCACGCTGCCCCTCACTGCACCACGCTGCCCCTCACTGCACCACGCTGCCCCTCACTGCACCATCTGCCCCTCACTGCACCATCTGCCCCTCACTGCACCATCTGCCCCTCACTGCACCACGCTGCCCCTCACTGCACCACGCTGCCCCTCACTGCACCATCTGCCCCTCACTGCACCACGCTGCCCCTCACTGCACCACGCTGCCCCTCACGGCACCACGCTGCCCCTCACGGCACCATCTGCCCCTCACGGCACCATGCTGACCGTCACTGCACCATCTGCCCCTCACTGCACCATGCTGCCCCTCACTGCACCATCTGCCCCTCACTGCACCACGCTGCCCCTCACTGCACCACGCTGCCCCTCACTGCACCATCTGCCCGTCACTATCATGCTGCCTGTCACTGTGCTTTTCGAACCTATTATTGCAGACACTGTATGAGCCCAGCTTGTTAGAGATCTTCCTTTCCTTCACTTACCTTTCTTCCAAGCATGATGTCTGTCTGCAGCACTGGACCCTCATGATAACATGCTCAAAGGAAGGGAGACAGTTTGACCCTTCCATGGAGCATTCTGGATACACTTCTTCTGAGACTTTTTCTTTTTACAGTCCATGATATTTTTAATATTTACGCCAACACCATAATTTAAAGGCATCATTACTTCAGTTTTCCTTATTCCTTGATAAATTTTCATAAATTCACATGTTGTTTATGCCGTTGAGTTGGGACTGACCCGTAACTGACCCTCCAGCAAGTTTTCAGAGGCTGTAAATGGCATGGGCAGAGTTTGCCCATTCTTCTCCTGAGGGGCACCTGGTGAATTTGAACCAATTGTCTTTGGGATTGTAGCATAGCTCCTTACCATGGGGCCCTGGGGCTTGGGGCAGGCACACCTTATCTTTAATATGCCATCTTTGTTTTTCTGTACTTTAAAGAAGTCTTTAGCAGCAAATATGCCTAATGCAATATTGTGTTTAACTTATTAAAGTGTTGCTTTGCATGGGCATTGATTGTAGGTACAGTGAAATGAAATCCTTAGCAACTTGAGTCTTTTCCCCATTTATTGTGGAGCTGTTTATTAGTCCAGTTGTGAGGGGTTTTGTTGTCTTTATGTTGAGGATGTATAATGTAGGACCTCATTTGCATTTGCTCCATGGACATGTTCAGTTCTCCTCCATTGTTTATAGAAAGATCTGCCCTTTCCCACAGCAAATCTGTGGTGTACTTCTCCCCTCGGGAAACCTGTCTGAACTCTGCTTTCCTTTCAGTGGGGGATGGAAGAATGGGTTACGCCGCCGAAGCCCCATACGATGCTATTCACGTAGGAGCTGCAGCCCCCGTGGTGCCCCAGGCGGTGAGTGTTTCCTTTTATGTATGTATGGATTTTATTCAATGAAAATGCTAGATTTAGCAAGGTATACCTTCTAGATGATGTTCAAAGCATGACAAGACTCTTATGGTACATTTTAGTTAGAGTTGATCCTTTTAAAAGACGTGAGTTGCATAAATGACATGAGGCTCATTAAACCTCAGCTAATGTCTGTCCTGCTTCAAGAAGTCTTTGATTCAGCTAAGAACTAGTACCTCAGTGGAATCAGGAAGATCTCTCTGGAGTTCATGATCTGAGAATTGATGAGTCTATTATTAAGCAACAGAATGTACAAGAATGTGTTAGGTGCATGGGAGACGCCAGGAAGTGCTTGCCATGCATTCTACATTGACATGGCTTATATTCTAAAGAAATGTAGATACACATCAAAGAGAGATTAATGACAGCATATTGTTGGGTATGCGTGTTAGATACTGGATGGGAAAGAAAATATGCACTGTGGTAATTCCATGGAGGGAGGGAGTTTGCATAGTGTGGCCAGAGACATCCTATAGAAAGGGAACTTGAGCTGAATTTTGTATATAGTTGACAATGATATTACAAATTCAAGTAAGTGTTTTTTATACTGTTGATTTTTCATCTTAGACTCCAAAAAGCTTGTCAGCCCTGCTAATAACTCTGGTTTAAGTGTTACTGGAATTGCCAGTTTTGCTCACACGGGAGTCTCCCATAGTTCTTGAGTTAGTGACGGGTGGAATGTCTCCACGGCCAGCCTGCACAAGTAGTCCGTTTTGCATGTTTAGATCCGTTATAAGGAACTGAACCTGGGAAATTTGTTCTACTCATCAACTTGCTAACTGGCTGGATGATCTTGGGACCATCATTTATTTATTCTCTCTCACCCTGTTACTTATCTGTTTAAAATACTCTCCTCCCCCTAAAAAAATCCCACAGCTAAACAAGTGATTTTCCCCCACAAATGCCTTAATTGAACTATTAGCATAATATAGAAGTGTATAAGCCTTACGTGAGTAGCTGAGTACATTTTCGAATAGTAATTAATACTTGATCAGATGCTTTACATTTTTTTCTTTTTAAAATATTGGCAACTTAACACGAAGAGTTAAAATTTGAAATAAAATTGTGTTTTAGGGATTGGGGGCCTTTAATTCAGAATCATGATATTGATGAACTAGAGGAGGGAACCAATTGCATGTACGAGTTCAGTCCTCATTTAGCATTTCTAGAATATAAATGAAGATGCTGGGAGGTGCACCTAGAAGGATTCAAAAGGACCGGGTTAGGGAGCAGCTCGGATGGGGGACAGTGCCTGCTTCTACATTCTATGCCTTTACACTTGGAAAAGCAACTGAGAGAACACTTGAAAGGATTACTCTGCTAAAAATCTAAAAAAAAATATGCTGGAAATAAAAATAGTAAGTGAAGACATTCTTCCTCGGGCCATATGACCTAAAGAAAGGTTTGTTCTTGTTTTTGATTAGTGGTGATTTGTAAGGCTGCAGATGGTAATGTGTGTCTTGAAAGGCATATCTTGCCTGAGGACCTTTCACTGAGTGATACAGGGGTCCTTATTCAAATGCTGCAGGGCTCCAGGCCCCCCTTTTTCTCCTTATGGTACCTACATGCAGTTAGAAAACTAGGCTTTCCTTATTTTTGGTTAATGGTGGCTTTGTGTTAAGGAGTTGTGCTGTCAAGTCAGAGGCATGGGGTTTGAATCCACTAGCTGCTCTACAGGAGAAAGATGGGCGCCCTCCTCCCATGCTATTTACTGCCTCTGAAAACCTGCATTGGGTCATTTCCTACAACAATACTAGATTCTACAGTAACAGGATAGAGGTTCTTTGCTAATTTTCTATATTTTCCATACAACCCCAGACAGGTACAATAACTAACTAGAATTGTTTACTTTGTCTTTTCCCAGGAGAAGGATGTGAATTGTGTGGTTTAAACATTTTAAGCCTTGCAGTTTTTATATTTAGTCCTAGGGTTTCAAGGATGAGTAAGACTCAAGGAACTTGTGATTTAGTAGAGGACGCTAATAGATAAGTAAGTAGGTAAATGAGTGAAAAGTACAAAAAAGAATTGTTAAAGCACCTTTCTCTGTTCTGCCCATGTGTACTAAAAGTATGATGATGGTCAGTGACTGGAAGATACATAACTTGGTGTGTGTCTGGTTCTCTCTCTCTTAGCTAATAGACCAGTTAAAGCCTGGCGGAAGGTTGATATTGCCAGTGGGTCCAGCAGGAGGAAACCAGATGCTGGAGCAGTATGACAAGCTCCAAGATGTCAGTGTCAAGATGAAGCCTCTGATGGGAGTGATATACGTGCCTTTAACAGATAAAGAGAAGCAGTGGTCCAGGTGGAAGTGATTTTCTCTTCTGCTCTTTCTTCCTCCACACGTGCAAGGTGAAAGGGTGTGGATTCTAAGACCTTAGACTACCAGAGCTGCTCCTTGGTTGTCGCCTTCATGCTACATTACCATCAGAAACGCATCACATTAAAACTGTAGAACAATGTTGCATGGTCTGCCTTTCTTTGCTTTTCCTCATACCTCTGGGGACAGAGGTGGGTGAGACTTGGCCAGCACACAAGGCGTTTGCCTCTCTTTCTAAAGAGACTTTCCGATACAGGCCAGTACTTTCTAAGGATACTTTATTCCCTGTGTCTCTAGTTACAAATAATTTTACTGCTGCTGCAAGGTCATAGAAATAAAGCGTTGGTTTAGAAGAGGAGCCGTTGGCTCCTGCCCCACTTTCTTCCCTCCTTGTTTTCTGCTGTACCGTTGTTACAAGGAGAAAGAAGGGTCAAGATAGAGCTGGCCCAGTTTTCTCAGGTGTCAGGATGCCAGCGAGCACATTCGATCTCTCGGCTTGCTTTCCTCCTTTCAGGCAGACTCAGCTGTTGTTTTAGAACCTCTGGAAGGAATAAGGTATTCAGTCCATAGACTAGGACAGTCAGTTGTTTGTTTTTTAAATTGGTTTTCATTCAGTCATAATTCGTTTCATAACAATAATTGTAACAATGGAATAATGCCGTTATTTACAGTGTCCCATCAAAGCCTTCCTTTACTCTCCCTTCTACTCACTTACCCATTTACTAATCTCTGCCCCCTCTTCCTCCCCTCCCATCCTGCCTGTCAGCCCTCCACAGTTGTTTCCATGTGTGGGTAAAACGTAATTTATACTCTTTTCTTCCCCCCCCCCTTCCCTGCTTTCCTTCATTGGCTGAGTTGTGCATGTCCTGTTGCAGATTGTCACTTGCACGGCACATGTTACCAGATCTCACATTCACTTTGGGTGGATCTTCTCTCCCCCCATCCATTACAGCATTCATTGTCCAAACATTCTATTCCTGTTCCCCCATCCCCAAATCATCACTGTTTTGTTAATAGTGGCCTTATACAGTATTTGTCCTCTTGTGACTGAGTTATTTTACTCAGCACAGTGTCCTCTAAACTCAAAGAACAGTTTTTAAATTCCTGTAGCAAAGTTCTGAGGTGGTAGGAGATTCTGGGAGCAAGTCAGTGAGTGAATGGCCAGGTCTCACCAGCCCACCCAGAGGGCCAGGAGCACGCAGCATGGTCTTCCCACGGCCTGGCTTTTCCGGTGTCATGCCCACCTTCATGTCCCAGCACCGCCCGAGCATTCTGGCTGCAGCCACGATGTGCCATCGTTTTCTTCTTCCTCACCCTCTCCAGAGGGAGCGGTGGGTGAGATCAGTAAGTGAGAGCAAAAGTGACGTCAGCGAAGGCTGTTGGCAGCAAGTGGCAGGGGCTTTGTAGCTTCTGCTCTTTGGAATCTAGTTTTCATAGGAAGAGAGTTATTTTTAAAAATCAACAAAATGACTATGTATTTAACAGACATTTTATTTTATTTCCTGGAAACAGAACAATCTCCCCCACCTTTGCTCCTCTTAAATAGATTTTCTTTTCTTTTTTAACAGTTTTTTTATTGTATTGGAGTGAAGGCTTAAATGCAAATTAATTTGCCATTCAACCATTCCTATACATGTGTTCTGTAACATTTATTTCAATACTGACAGTGTAACTGCACTTGCCTCATTTTCTCCCTATAATTCTAATTTCCATTAGTCTTTTTATACCTCTGTGTCTTTCCTTTCTTGGGTAAATTGTCCTGATCATCTCCTTACTGTATAGTGAGGAAAGGCACATTTTGAGTCAGCGTTTAAGTGGAACCGAACTGTAATGAATGTAAAAGTGGGCCCAAAACTTGAATTTTAATTCCTATTTTCCATTGAACTCTATTCTGGGAAACAGCCACTTCTTTTTTTTTTTTTTTTTTGAAGAAAATACCTTTATTGATTTTTCTGATTATAAAGTTAATAAAGGCTCATTGCATAAAGATTCTAAAAATACAGTGTAAGTCTTTTGCCAAGCTAATTAATATAGACCCTCAACATTATTATTATTATTATTATTATTTTTACTTTTAAAAGAGAGGAGCGAACTGGGTGGGGCGAGGGCTGAGAGAAGTGCAGCAATGAATGAATGAAAATCCAAAATCTCTGTAAATGTTCATTAAAATTATTAAAAAAAATGTTGAGGGTCTATGTTAATTCGATTGGCAAAAGACTTACACTGTATTTTTAGAATCTTTATGCAATGAAACAGCCAGTTCTTAAAAAAAATATTTTAAAAGTTGTCAGTCTTTTGCATTAGAATCAGATTTAGTTATTAATGGTTAATTATGACTTTCCTCCACTTTGCTCATAGTGTGGTTACACGTTTCCATAACTGTGATTACTGTCTGTGAAAGAGGCAAAACTAGCACTGGAATGACTGAAATTTAATATCAAGTAAGAGTGCAGTTAGTGAGTTCTCTTTATGCTCAATAAATGTTAATATTGAGCGCTTTACCTCTAAACGAATGATGAAAGAGGAACAAAGTGGTTTTGGATTTATAGCCTGAGGTGGGTTTACCAGGAAGCCAGTGAGGCTCAACTTCAGGGCTTCAAACAGGAAGGCCTAACGCAGTGTGCTTGTCTGGATGTCCTCTCGCCCTTATAGAGACCCTCAGCGATGTGACTGTGGTGTTAGCTGCCCAGGACCCAGACCCTGATCATGAACTCTGGTGCACCACAGAGCGAAGCCCTGCCCAGTCCTGCACCTTTGTATAGGATTGTGTGACCCCAGGGTGTACGCTGGGTCTTGGGAAGTAGACCAGTGGACCTTTTTTCCTAGTCTGTGTTTTCTAGAAGCCCCAGTGACATTTGTTCCCATGGCCACGTTCAAGCCACTGCTGACAGATGCTATGTGTTTGTGCACATAAGTGGGTAGGCGGGGAACAGAACCTGGGTCTCCTTCCTGGAAGTCAACGCTCTCAGCCTCCCCTTAAACCCAGCTCCATTTCAGGTTAAACTCAACAGAAGGACTTGTGTCTAAAATTTCGGAATGATTTTTAAATTTATGAACAGTTATTTGCCGACTATTTTAACCCTTTTTCTTTTTTTGGCCTTCAAATTGAAAAAAAAAATTCCTTTAAGCAGTTTTGTGTTTGCAAACCTAAGTTTCTACACGTACACGTCAGTGGTATTGATTGCAGTCTGAGCTGTGGAACCATCCTGACCCTGGTTTTCTGAGTTGTTTAGGGAGGAACCTTCCCTGGAGCCCACCGAGAGCAGGGGCAGCAGCAGAGGGGAGACAGACCAGAGCTGGTGTTGGGGGGAGTGATGACCGGACCCACCAGTCACCTCAACTTCTCTCCTCCTGCCCTCTTATCTCTTAGCAGCCCATCACGCAAGCCAGGCACAGCTGGAAGTCAGAAAGGAAGGGGCTCTGTGGCAGATGCGCAGGCATACCTCGTTTTATTGGGCTGCGTTCTCTTGCGCCTCGCAGATAGTGCGCTTTTTACAGATTAAGGTTCGTGGCAACTCTGCGTCGAGCAAGTCTGTTGGCGCCATTTTTTGAACACACGTGCCCACTACATACCTTTGTGTGACAAAATTTAGTTAGTGCTCCCAATATTTTAAATGTTTCCATAACGCTAATAGCACTCTCAGGGGAGCACTGGTGGCCTAGTGGCAAGAAGCTGCGCTGTAATCCGAAGGCGCGGGTTTCGAATCCACCGGCTGCTCTGAGGGAGAAGGAAGGATGAGCAGTCTCCTCCCGTGTGATTTACGGCCTCTGAAAACCAGCCAGAGTTTCAGCAATGGGTCGGTTCTGACTCGACAGTACACAGTCACAATAACAACAACAACAACAACAACAACCCAGCACACTTAAACTACAGAGCAGTGTGAACGGAGGGTTTATCCACTGGGAAACCAAGGTGTTGGTGTGGCTCCCTTTGCAGGCCTCTACTCCGAGGTATGCCTGGAGTCTGAGTCAGCGCCCGCCACCATCCTCCTCGTCTCCCCCAGCAGGGAGCCCTGCTGCTTTTAAAGTGTAGGTTTGAGAGAAGTGAGAAATCATCCAAGCTCTGTGTGTCCTATTTAAATCCCCTTTAGGTCAGTCTATACTTAAATGGTTCTAACAGGAAAATGTGTTTTATTTTAAATGGCCTTTGGGAAAGCACCATTTTATACTTCTCGTTGGTTTATTCCATTGGTATATTTTTCAGAGTGAGGATCCCCTCTATTCATTTGTCTAACGTGTGTGCCCAACTGTGCTTAGCACCCTGTGAGGTGCCAGGGTCTCCATCTGTAAATGTGACACTGACTCACTGTCATGGAGCTGACAGGCAACCACAGTGTAGTGTGCTTGGACTTGGGCTCCACCACTCCCTAATGGCTGGAGGCTCACATCTGCCTGTGGGGGCCTCTGCAGAGAGGTCTGGGGATCTACTTCTGCAGCCTGGCCAGCACCACAGCTCCACCGGGCCTACACCAGGTGGCCATGACAACTCGCTCCCCTCCCAGCGAATGATTTTTTTTGGTGAGGGTTTTTGGTCTGCCTTGAGAATAGGAGGGAGCAGTTGAAATGTTTAAGCCTGGCAGTAACCAGAACTGTGAATCCAAAGAAAGCTCAGGATCCAGTGTAGAGAACAGACGAGGAAGAGACGAAAGCAGAGTTGAAAGCAGAAGTGGCTGTAGCAATTCCAGGATGAACAGTGAGGCAGTGGTGGCGCGGATGAGAGATGTGGACTGTCCTGCATCTCACGTCCCGGAAACACCTGTTTGTTGCGAAGATGGAAAATGGTTGCTTATCATTTTCTAAGAACCCATCCATTTTGGGGAATTATCTAAGAAATTCCTTAGTCCCAACCTTGTTGGGCTAGTTGGTTTCTGTTGTGTTTTTGTCAGCCTTGCTTGGACCCCCTGCACTGCTAGCTGTCGTCCAGCACTCTGGTGAGGTCTGAGGACCACGAGCTGGGAAAGTGGGGCCCCTGGAGGGTAATCCCAGGTAAAACCACCGCCAGGATGGAGACTTGTAACCTGGAAAATGTCACCTGACTTTTTGGTGAATTAATAAAAGGGCTGAGATTGCCAGAATCTTGGCATTATGTTCATGACCAGGGATGTGTAATAGATCGTTATAGGAATTCTCAATTTTTAATTTTCATTTTTATTCTAAAGTACATTTAGTTATACAGAAATCAATGTTTTTTTAATCTTCTGGTAAAAATTTTCCTTTTTGTTTTTAATATTTTTTGGTAAATAAGACCCTGATGGTGCAGTCTTTGGTAATAGGCTTCAAACCAAAAGGTCAGTGGTTCAAATCCGCCAGCCTCTCCAAGGTGCAAAGCTGGCTTGTCCCCTGATGGAGGCAGAGCTGACTCTTGCTGGTGCTGTTATAACAAGACAGTTTATGAAGAGACATTTAAAAAACATTTTCTTGCATATAAAATTCAATTTTTAAGCAGATTATTTTATAATCCCTTAATTTACCATTGGCCTGAGAAATCTTTATTTCTCTGTAAAATTTATTTTGACAACTTTTTTTTTTGAGATTTTTATTTTTAAGGGAGATTAGAAGAATAATACAAAACCCTGGAACTCCTTTATCCCGAGTTAGCAGTTCCCAGTTCTCCTTATTTGCTCTCTCATTCTCTTACATCTTACAGGAATATTCCCCTGATCATTTGAGAAATGATGACTATTATTCCTCAACTATGACTTTTTTCAAGACTTTATGACTTTGTCATTCAGATACTTAAACCTTCTTCAATACTATTTCTGTTACTCAGAGTACACTCAGATACACGACTTTTAATGTTTTCAGGTTGTTTTATTTTGTCCCCTGTTTTAACACCTTTAATGATGTATCATTTACATCACAGGGTTTTGTTTTGTTTTTTAGTCCTTCGCTTCTCTGGCAGTTGCTGGCACAGTTGTCCTTGCAGCTAAACAAATTATTTCATTTGGAACTGATAAAGCTACCTTGTGAAATCAGCTGATAACGTGTAGTACTGTATTTTTGCATATAGCATGCCCACATAAGTAAATAACGTCACTGGAAATGACAGAGGGATTGTTGATTTTGCGAAAAGCATATAACGCGCTTGTTATTTTCGTAAAAATGAAGCACTCTGCTCCAGATGGTTCATTTTTTCCAAAAGAGTTTAGATTGACCCTTTGAAATGATTGCTAAAGCAAAACCCAAAATTTTTGCCCAGTTTTTGTGGATGTTAACTATGCAGTGTTGTAAATAATCTGAAATTTTTAAGTCACCATTTTATAATAGATTAGCAACAAAATCTAGGATCCAAAAACTCTTAAAATTTCCCTGACTTACTGATCTTGAAGGAAGAAAACTGTCTTTAGAATTACGCAGCAAAGAACTTAGGAATTTTCATGATTCACTTTGAGCTGGCTAGAAAGATGTTTCAAATGGCTGACTCATACTTTTTTTTCCTTTGCTTTGGAATTCTTTTTAAAAAATATTGCTTGATAGCATTGCACTTTTACATATTTAAGCTTTAGCTATTTAGAAAGTGGAATTGGGACTGTAACTCTTATTTCTGTTTCTCTGCTTCTCCCCCAGGGATGAACTGTAAAAGCACCATCAGCTTGACCAGTCCATAATGTCCCAGTGGATTGCTCATCTCAGTCCTCAGCTTTTTGAAAACCAACAGCATCACAGCTTGTTTTGGACTTTGTTACACTATTATTTTCAGCATGAAAATGTGTGGTTTTACCAAGTTTCTAAATCTTAAAGAGGCACAGAGCCAAACTGGTAGAGGAAGGATGTAGAGTTTAAATTTGTGTATTATTCCTTTAACATGCCCATATTTTACTTTAAAATATTAAAAGAAGCAGTTCTACAAAATGGAAAACTTAGTTTGTGAATTTTGATTTTGAGGAGTGAGTTTTCTTTTCTGAACACTTAATTCTTTTCTGATACGAACTTATCAGACTGCTTTTGTGCATCAGATAACACCACCATTCACTAGTTACGATTCTTGGTATTTGGAGTCTGATAGATGCTACTAAGAAAATAGAGGAGGTGAGCTTCCTTCTTACAGCTTTGATGTGGTGTCATTCATAGAATAGCATGTTGTAGATAAACAATCAGCTGCTTTATTACCTTCAAACTAAGCATTTGTAGATAATCAAATTTAAGATGTCAGGTGATGCCCCTTAAAACACACTCAGCTGTTTAGATCGGCCATAACTGACATAGTTCTTCCTTTCTCTTGAAAACTTCTAGATTGTTGTTCAGTATTGTTTTTTCCTGTTTCTAATTTGCTGCTGATAATGTATATGAACTTAACATGCTGTGTAAGCTGTGTCTTAGTTACTGAACAGTTTATGCAGTGCTGCTTTGCCAAATAAAGTTAAAAGTAAAAGAGGCATTGGTGGTGTTTGAATATGGAAGACTCTGTCCACCAGCTACAGGATGCCAAGGTCATGGGGGAATAGTGTTCCCAACGCTCCCTTTGTGTAACCTGAGTAGGTAACTAGCATGGATCCAGTTGTACTTTTATGGAATATGAATACATTCATTCCTTGGAGACAAGGCCCATACCTCCTTTGCCATTTTTGTTTGCCAGTTGTACATTGCCATTGGATTGGGACTGACTCATAACTGACCCTTTAAGTTGGTTTCTAGAGGCTCTAAACATGGGGAGATTACCCATCATTCCCTCCTATAGAGCAGCTGGTGGATTTGAACTGTATACCTTTGGGTTGGCAGCACAACTCTCTACCCACTAGGCTACCAGAGCTCCCTTGTCTGCCTAGTGCAAGGCTTATCTTGTAGTCTATGTAGGACAAATGGTGAATGAATGAGTGAATAACTGAATTAGTGTCAGGGAATAGGGTTGAGGATAAACATACCAAACCCCATCCATCTCTCTCCTATGTATTGGTTTATTAGTCTAATGGCTCTAGCATGAGTTTCTAAGGAGACAGTAATGGTTTGGGAATCTTGTTTTAATGTTGAGTTCTTTTAAATTCCTCTTATACTAAGCTATTTTTCTGAGAGCTCTAAAATGTGAGCATAGCTCTAGAGACTGGCGGAATGATTGTTTCCCACCAAGACATTCCTACTGCTGATGCCTCTCCCCTCATCTAAGAAGGTAGTGGACTTTAGATACTAACTTCAAAAGTCCAAAGTATTACTTATACCTTCTCTTTTTCTTTTACAAATTACATTTAAATTCTGCATACATCTCTTCACAAGTGCTGCTTCTTGGTTAAATTCTTAGGTGAAGGAAATGTTTAGGCATCAGCTAGTGTTATTTACTGACTAGAACTCTGGGCTTATGGCTTCAGTTTGCTGCTGCTGGGCCCCGACCCTAAAGCCTCACAACCCAGGACTCGGTGTCATTTGAGGTAACTGGAGAGAATATATTCTGTAGGACTTGAAATGATTTCTTAATTAATGAAGTCTCCTCCATAGCCAGGGTCAGCATTTTACTGTCTGAATCCCCATGCCACCTTCTGGGGGCTGGAGGAAGGCCCTTACCCTCGACGAGGAGCCCCTGGGCGGCAGCTCAGTGCCTCGTGCCTGGTGGAGACGGTGCTGCGCCTCGAGCTTTGTCCCAGCATTGCGCTCGGACTTCACACGTCAGTGAATTAGAACTTGCAAGTGTTGACTAACCCTGAGTGGGTTCAGTGGAGCACCAATGATGAAGGAGTAGAGAGATGTATGTGTGTAGGTCACAGATAAGACATTCTTCTTTAGTCTTTAGCAGTCACATTTCTAGACTATGCTAGAATACATTTCACTTTTGCTTAATTAATTTCTTTCCATACCACAAATTAATTTCTTTCCATAACACAAAAGAGCAGTAATGTGAAAACGTTGAAAGGATTTCCAGTTTAGTACGATTGCATTGAAACAATTAATTTGGTTTTATTAAAGCCAAATTTAGTTCTCAAAATTTACGAAATGGAAGCCTGAATGGAGAATTTCCATTGAGGATTCCATTGACCCCTGTACTGGGTGCATGCATGGTGATGGTTTCCCTCATTCCAGTGAATGGCTTTATTTTTGTCCTTGTTCTGTTTAAGGCTTTAGAAGGATTTCTATTAAAGAATTTCAGTTTCTATTTAAGGTTTCAGTTCTTTTCAACCAGTAATACTAGGGATGGGGCGAAGGACATTTTGGAAAAAAATTATTGTCCATGCAAGTACTAAAAATTCAATTGCCCTAATTTTTTTTTAAAATACCATTGTATTTAGAACTGGCTAAACTCCTAAATTATACCTATACTAAAGCATTTAAGAAATTCAATGGATTAAAAAATAGTCACATAGAATAATACTACTCATGAAATTCTTTAAAGCTATTCTTGTGTGATTGTCAGCTGAGAAATAAAACTCAGTAATCGTGTTTCATTAGAGAGGCGAATGTTTTTAGATAAGGCCCAGATTTCCCCCAGTAGTTTGGAACATTCTGAAAGAATGGCAAGAAAAGTAGTATTGTAAATGAAATAAAAAGTCTAGGTAAGTAAAAAATGTTTTAAATGGGCTTCCAAATGCCAAGAACTTATTTTAGGTAAGTGAAGACCATACACCATCATTCCTCACAATTTATTGTGTTCTCAATTTCTCCTGTTATATTTTAGAAAGATGACAGTGTTTTAGCTCAAATAATGGCTAGCTGAAATAGAGTGTCAGTGAAAGAATCCTGCTTAGAGAAAACTAGCAGCTTCTTGAGACACAAGGATGTGTGTACTGTGATGTAAGAAAAGATCAAAAAAGGCCAGGAAGAGTGCGAATCCCAGAACAGTTAATTGTGCTTGTGTAAAACCTATACCTAGACCAAGACCAGAGCAAGGAACAGTACATGGTTTAAAATGAAGGGAGTGTGTTAGGGTAAAGTAAATGAGAAGCTGGACTCTATGAAGAATGTGGCATCCGGATCAGAGGAAGACTCATTAATAGCCAATATGCAGATGACACAACCTAGTTTGCTGAGGGTGAGGAGGATATGGAACACTTGCTGCAGAAGATCAAACGCTCAACTCAGCCTTTGGTATGGATTACATCTCAAGGTCAAGAAAACAAAACTTCTTGCCACTGTACTGATACCACATCATGAGAGATGGAGAAAAAAATGGAAACTGTCAACAATTTAATCTTACTTGGATCCAAAATACCCTAGGTAGCAGCAGTCAGGAGATCAAGAAATATAGTACGCTGGGGAAGTCTGCAATCAGGGACCTCCAAATTATTGAGGAGCAATGATATCAGTTTGGGGACTAAGGTGTGTCTTATTCAGGCCATGGTCTTTTCAATAATTTGCTCTGCATCTGAGAGATGGACAATAAAAGATTACAGAAGAATTGATGCCTTTGGTGGTGGTGGTGAACAGTACTGAACAGTACTCCTATGGAGTGCCAAAATAAACATATTTCTTGGAGAGGATATAGTCAGTTCTCTTTGGAGGCAAAGGTAACAAAGTTTCATCTCATGTAATTTTGGCATGCTGGTAGGAAAGATTATTCTTTGGAGAGGGCCTTCATGCTGGGCAAGGTGGAAGGTCACCAAAAGAGGAAGACCTTCAACTAGATGGATTGACATAGTAACTGCAGCAATGGGCTGAAGTATGTCAGGTGCTGAGGATGGCACAGGATAGGGCAGGGTGCAGATGTGTTGTTCATAAGGTCACTGGGAGTCATACTCGAGGGCAACTAACAACAACAACTCCTCTCAGGTACCACGGCTGCAATAGAATTGTTGGTCTCCTGCTTTAGGCTTCATCTTTTAAGTGACTGTGAGTCATTTGGGGCGGGATTCTCGAGAAGTGTTCCACTGGTTGGTGAGAGAGAAAAACAGTAGAATCTGACTTCGAGTTCCTGTCGAGCACCTCCCTGGGTGACTGAAGCCCAGGGAGCTTCTGCTCTTTATCCTCCTTCGGCCATGAGAAATAGTTGTAGAGCTGCTGGCTGTGAAGACCTCATCCTCACTCAAGGGTCTCAAAGGGTTGGACATCATAGCAAAAGCTCTTTGTCCAGAGGGACAATTTATTTTATCATATATATATATATATATATATATATTTTTTTTTTTTTTTTTTTTTTGTGAGAGGGGAGCAATCCCTAGCTTAGGGCAGCTGGGTGCATTTGTGTTTGAACTCCCTATTTTTTTGTATTTGAACATCCTAAACGAAAGCTGAGAAGTTGGCTGTAGGTCACAACCACTGCAAATGACCACTGAATAGTGCTGTATCAATTTTAAATCAGTTGGGAGAAAAAGGAAGAGAGTATTTTCGAGGAAATGCAGGCCTGCTTTTCTTTAGGATCTCAGCTCCATTGAGGGCAGTGGACATGAGGGGCAGGCCAGGAGGTTTCAGGCAGGATTTCCATGAGATGTCAGATGATTCCTGCCTCATCTACCCTCAGTGGGGAGAAGGTGTGTGGGTAGCATTTTCGTTTTGTTGTTGTT